CGGGAAGGGGTGACCTCCAAAAAGCGGGGGCGGCCCTGTGCACGCGGCGGCCTGGGCAAGGGGCTGAGGAGGAGGGAGGAGGGAGGAGGAGGAGGACGAGGAGGAGGAAGACGAGGAGGAGGAGGAGGAGAAGGAGGAGGAGCATGATCCACCCAGGGGATCGAGTCAACAAGCTAGGTCCCGGTCGCCGAGAGACAAGCAACGACCCGAGCAGAGCCGAGCCCCTGGGGGGGCGGAGGGCGACGCGCGCGTGCTCCGACGCAGCCGGGCAGATGAACGCCAGGACCACGCCAGGACCGCGCCAGGACCACGCCAGGGCCACGCCAGGGCCACGCCAGGGGCGCGGGGGCGCGGAGCGGGGCGAGTGCGCGCCCCAAGGGGCGGCGGCGCAGCGGCGAGCTGACACCGCAGAGCGAAGGCAGGCGACCAGGCGGACGCCCGCCCTGCGACGCGGCGAGCCCGGGACTGGGAAGCATGATGGGCGCGTGTTCCACCACCACCACCATAAGTTGGAGGGGTGTCCTCCTCCTCCTCCTCCTCCTCACCCTCCCCCACCACCCCCTCCTCCACCTCCTCCTCCTCGTTGTCTTCATTCCTCCTCGCCCTACTCCTCCTTCCCCCCTCCCAACTTATGGTGGTGGTGGTGGAAAACAGGCTCATCAAAGCAGCGCCGCGAGCGGGCCGGCCCACGCCCGAGGCAGCTGCGGACAGGAGGGGGGCTGCGGAGGAGGGAGGTCCAGCGCCCAGCGCGGAGCCGAAGCACCGCGCGCCGAGAGGGAGTGAGGGGTCGCCGCAGGGCGGGGCGAGGCGGCAAGCCTCGGACGGGGACGAAGCCAAGCGAGCTGCATCGTGGGGAAACCTCTGCAGCAGACGAGAGTGGACCGGGGCCGGTGGCCGCGCCAGCGGCGGGCAGGTCCGCGCCCGAGGCAGCGGGGGACCGGCGGGGACCCGCAGGCAGGGAGGGCAGTAGCGCTGGGTCGGGCATGCCCTCCGACAGGCGGATTCTGACAGAAAAATTCGAGGCTGCGAATTGCCAAACAACGGCAACAACAAACCAAAACCACAACAAGAGAAAACGAGCATGCCTCCCGCAGAGGCACAGGCCCGACTTGAGAGCAGCGCCAGCGCTGTGCAAGCGGCGCGGCGGGAGAGCCCGCGCCGCGGCAGGGGCGGCGCCCGCGGGGGCGAGGCGGGCAGGCGGGGGCGGGGCGGGGCGCGGGGGGCGGCCAGCGGAGCGGGGCGGCAGCAGCCCGGGCCGGCGGCCGGCGCCCAAAGCGGGCGAGGCCGCGCTCGAGGCAGCAGGGGCGCAGGAGGGGGGGGGGTCTGGGCCGGCGGCGAGCGAGGGGGGAGAGTGAGGAGGAGAAGACCATCGCCCTCTGTCTCACACACACACACACACACACACACGCGCGCACGCGCACGCACACGCACGCGCACGCGCACGCGCACGCACACGCGCACACGCACACGCGCACACGCACACGCGCACACGCGCACACACACACACGCACACACACACACACACACACACACGCGCACGCACGCACGCACGCACACACGCACGCACGCACGCACGCACGCACGCACGCACGCACGCACGCACGCACATACACTTTTGGGCGTCGCGGCCACGCGCGCAGCGTCGTGGCGGAGAAAGTCGTGCAAACACACACGCAGACCTCTACGCCACGCCGAAGACTTCCCCCCTGCACTGCGAAACCTCCTGGGAATCTCGTGGGGGGACTCTTGGGGCACTCTTGTGGACGTCACGTGGGCATCTGTGGGCACCCGGGGGCCATCTCGGCGCCCACCACGGTTGACGTTGGCACTTCAAGATTTGAAGCGGCGTGGGGCCCTCTTGGGGCCCATGTTTCCAAAAGAGCCTAGGTTCACGTTGCTCCCAGGACCACCTCCGAGGGCCCGACGCGTGAAAGCCCTCCAATTTCGGTAGTTTCCTGGTGCTCGAAGTTCTCTCAGGTGATGAAGGCGAAGGTAGGTTGGAACGTCATAAGCCTAGGTCACTCGAGTGACAGCCGCGCTGGGGCCCTCTGAGGGGCCCTCCAAGGCCGTCCTGCGCACCCCCTGGGCCCGCCGTGGGGCCCTCTTTGGGACCTCGCGGGGCCCTCTTGACGCATCGAGAGCGCTTCAGCAGCGACCGGGCGAGAGAGGGCACGAATCGCGTGGACGCCAAGGCCACGTGCAAAGACGTGGGGCTCCCTGCGGCGTCCTGGGGCCACCTGGGGCCGACGCGGCGGCTGTCTCGGCGTGCCTTGCCAGATCCTGTGTTAGGGAGCCCACAAAGGACGTACGCGCCCAGCTATGTACATGAACACGGCCCCTCGATCCGCGAGACCTGCCGCGTTATACGAACATTTGCGCTATGCGTACTCTCGAAACCAGCGTGGATTCATGTACGTGTACGTCCTTTTGTCGCTCCTGATGTGTCTGGTCCTGCCTGGTCTGGGCCAGTCTGGTCGCCCCCGGGGCCGCCTGCGGGACCAGGGGGCGGCCCTCGCAGGGCCCATCCCACACCTGCGCGGCGGCAGAGAGCCCTACGAAGACCTACGGGAACTCACCGATCTGCTGGGTTCGCCAGACGCGTGGCGCTGGTATTGGGCCGGGCATGCCCCCCCTACAAGCAGCTTGGAGGGAAGAAAAAAAAAGTGTCAAACAAATATATCAAAATGATCCAACAGCAATCGAAACATCGTCCCCTGACTATTTTTACCATGTTTGAGCATTCCTCCTGCAGAGGGACGTGCCCGGCTCAACGCTGGTAGCCTCTTCGACATCTGGAGCGGCTTGTGGCCCTGTTAGGTTATCTTGGGGCGGGTGAAGAGTTTTGGGGGGAGGTGGGGTGGAGAGGGGTAGGGGGGGGTGTGTGTGGGGTTTAGTGGATGGGGGTTGTGGCCCTGTTGGAGTCACACGGGGCTTCTCTTGTCGGGAGCGGCCAAGAGGGGGGTGTCCAAGAGGGGGGGGTGCAAATCATGACCGGCGGCATGGGCGCGGCACAGCGGGGGGGCCAGGGACGTGATGAAGCAAGAAGAGGCGCCATGAAATCTAGGGAAATACCATGGCCCCCGCCATGATATCCACCCACCCCTAGTCTTATGGATGCCATGACAGTGGACACTCTAACAATCCGATCGTTGAATTAAAATGTGCTTAACATGTGTAAAACATGTTCTAAAAGTGTTTCAAACATTTTTTACATATCTAAAACATGTCTGGAACATCTTTTAGACACCTGGAAATTATTCGGCAGCATGCTTCCCCTCCACTGATCGACTTCCACAACCCTACCCCCTCTTCCGTCGGGCCGCTGAAAAAAGGAACGTTAGATGAGGAACGAAGCCCCTCTTTGGCCCTGTAAGCGCCTGCGTGCCCCAGGAGGGCTAGAGGCACAGCACTGGAGGAACCCAAGGGCGCATCGAGCCCCCTCCGAACCCAAACTGTTCCTCATCTCAACGTCTTGACTGTAGCCCTCGACTGGTCCTCCCCCCCCCCTCCCCCCCCCCCTAACCCAAGGGCGCATCGAGCCCCCTCCGAACCCAAACTGTTCCTCATCTCAACGTCCTGACTGTAGCCCTCGACTGGTCCTCCCCCCCCCTCCCCCTTGCCGCCCCCGACCGGTCCTCACGTCCCTCCTTGCCGCCCCCGACCGGTCCTCCACAGGTCCGCTACGACACGCGTCCGCGGATAGAGAAAATCAGCGCCATGGTAAGGGATGGGAGGGAGGGGTAGGACGTCAGATATGACGCGAGCGCACCTAGCTTGCCCTCTCCCCCTCTGCCCCGTCCTTCCCCCCTCTCCCCCCACCCCCCCCCCCCTCCTGGTCCTCCTGGTCCTCCTCCTCCTCCTCTCCTCTCCTCCCCTCCTCCTCCTCCTCCTCCTCCTCCTCCTCCTCCTCCTCCTCCTCCTCCTCCCGAAAGAGCGACTGTGGCTCCGGACCTGGGCTTGCCCCCCCCCCTCCCTGGCCGCCCCCGGTCCCGGGGCCGCCCTGGAGGCCCCCGGGGGCCCCTCCCCTCGGGCCGCTCCGCGGGCCTGCCCGCGCGCCCATGGGGGCCGCCGCCGATGTGGCCCTCGCCCTCCCTCCGCGGGGGGCGCGCGCACGGGGCGCCGGGGGCCTTCCCCCCCCCTTCGCGGGGGGCCGGAGGGGCCGGGCGTTGCCAGAAGTGCCCCTGGGCCAAGCCCAGACCCCCTCGAGAAATGAAAAAATCGTGACGGGAGGTTTTTCCTAATTTTCGGCCTCTGGGGGCCTTCACCGGGCCTCGGGAGCGTCAGAAAACGACTCAGGATGCAAAGCCGGTCATGGGGAAAGGGTCGGGACATCTGGAGGGCGACGTAATGAAAAAATCATTACGTCGGGGGTCTGGGAGGCGCCCCCAGGATTCTCGGGGCAGCCCAAGCGGCCTCCAAAAAAAGCCCTCGCGAGGCCCAGAGGGCCTCGTGGGCTCCAGAGTGGAGCGAAAAGCTGGGGGCACCTTGGGCCAGGGGTACCTCTAGCAACACCCGAGAAGGGGCCGGCAGCAGAGCGCAGCTCGACGCCCAGAGCTGATGCTAGCTCGGGCCTGTCCCCCTATGCAGGGGGGGCGTTGGACGAAGAAGAAAAAAGTACGCCAAAAAAATGCTCAAGAGGATGCCGAAGACTGCTCGAGGGTGGAGAGACAGTCCCCAGACTGCTGTGTGACCATTTTTGAACATGCCCCCTGCAGAGGGACAGGCCCGACTGAAAGCTGAGATCTGTGCACAGGAGATGCTGGCGATCAGGGGGCCTTCTCGAGGCGTGCCGGGGCCATGTGGGGCCGACCGGGAGGCCGCCCTGTCGCGTGTGCTCGCGGGTACTGGCTGATCTCGTGGTGTTCTGCCCTGCCTTCTCTCGTCGGGATGTCTTGCTCTGTACTCGGGGCGTCGTGGGCCGTCTGGCAGGAGGGGCGCGCGGACTCCATGACTCGCGGCTGGGACGACGACGCACGGAAGAGAGGTGGGCGAGGGGTGGCCTGCCACACGTTCTTCTCCAGCTTCGTCCTGTCGTCCTCGTCGATGTGCTTGTAGGGCGGGTAGCAGAAGTTCACGAACAGTATCATGAGCGGAAGCCAAATGGCAAAAGACACTGCGGTCATCCACATGTACTCGGAGTAGAAGTCGGAAGAACTCCCCTCTCCATTAGGGCGCTGCTGGTACTGCTGCCATCTGCCCTTCCTCCTCCACCTCCTGCTGCTGTTGCTGACGGCGGTCATGATATTTTTTCTGTTCCTCCTCCTCCTCCGCATCCTCCGTCTCCTCCTCCGCCTCCTCCTCCTCCTCCTCCGCATCCTCCTCCTCCTTCTCCTCCTCCTCCTTCTCCTCCTCATCCACCTCCGCCTCCTCCTGCTCGCGGGGGGTCCTCGCCTGGCGGCGACCGTTGAAGCCCGTCGTTGCTCCCACGGACCCAGGGCTCGACACGGTGCAGCTTGAGTGTCGCACGGCCCCCCACGCTCCTGCTCCTGCTCCTGCTCCTGCTCCTCCTCCTCCTCCTCCTCCTCCTCCTCCTCCTCCTGCTCTCCTCTCCTCCTCCTCCTCCTCCTCCTCCTCCTCCTCCTCCTCCTCCTCCTCCTCCTCCTCCTCCTCCTCCTCTTCCTCCTCGTCCTCCTGAGTTACGGGGTTACTCAGCAGACAGTGTACAGCACAAGCACAGCACACTGCAGAAAGGGAAAATTACGCAGGCCTGGGAGCACGGCCCCAGGGTGAGGGCCTTGAGCGCGGCCCCGGGGTGGGAGGGCTACGATAAGAGTTACAGTTAGGTCCGTTAGAGACAAGAGTCTCCACTTCGACTGTCTGCTCTCAGACGAAGCCTTCCCGTCACAGGCAATGCGGAGCTTTGGGCCTGCCGTACAAGCGGTGAACGCGCCGCAGGCAGCGCAGTGCACGACAGGAAGCCCAGAGCGCTCGACCCAAGCCACGTGAGGCCCCCCGAGCCCTCTGGGGGCAGGTGGTCTAGGGAGGCTCCTCTTACAACCCCCCTCTTCCCCTTCGGGGAAGGGTTTATCAGTGCTCCCTATTGATACGCACCCCCTCCCCCACCCGGCCGGCAGCCAGCCTGGAACCATGACAACCCCATGAGGGCCCCCCACACACACACACACACCATCCAGGCCAACAGACAATACGAAGCGCACTCTGCCTCCACATGTGGAGCATGCGCGGCCGCCCCGCGACCATTTTGTGCTGGTATTTTACAGGGACGACTGGGGCGCCAGCAGATCCCACCTGCCTTCTGGGCGCAGGCTGGTTTGACACATCAGTGGCTGTTGCCTTTTCGCCTTATCGTTTCCCATGGGTGGATCCAAAACTGGTCAAGAAATCTCAAAGCTAGGCCCAAGAGGCTTCCAAACCCGTAGCGTCTGCGGCATTTTTTACGCGATATGCTGACATCCGGGTGTTACTTATGTGTTAGGAGGGCGGACGGGAGTAAGTAAGACAGCCTGCGGGCGGGTGGGTAGCTTGACCCTCCCCCATACCCCCTCCCCTGGACCTGGACGGGGCGCCGAGCGAGGTGTCAGAGGGTACGTTTTCGCCCAAGATGGCTCCAAGAGGGCCTCATAGATCCCAAGATGACCTCCGAGATGGCTCAAGATAGCCCAAGATGGCTCAAGTCGGCCCCCAAGATGCTCCAAGAGGCCCGTAAGAACGCTCCAAGACGGCTTCAGAACGCCTTCGAGACCTCCAAGGAGGCCTCCAAGAAGCCAGAACCCTTCCAAAACCCAAGGAAAACCAATGTGATTTGCTTTCTCGCCGTTTCGCTTCCGATGGCCATCCGGGGCCTCAAGATGGCGCCAAGATGGCCCAAGCGGCCCCAGGAGAGACCCAAGAGAGCTCTGAGACGGCCCCGAGAGCGCCCAAGAGTGCTCCAAGAGCGCCCCAAGAGTGCCCGCCCCAAGAAGCGACTTTGGGGGCTCCCCGCGGGTGGGGGGGGGGGCGGGCGGCGAATTGAGGAACCCCTCTTCTTTGATCAATATCCTCTAAGATGGCCCAAGAGCGCTCCTAAGACTCCCAAGAGCACCCCAAGATGGCCCCATGAGGCGCCCAGGCGGCCCGAAGGGGAGTCCAAGATGCCTCTAAGAAACTCCCAAGAGGCTCCCAAGAGGCTTCAAGAGGATCCCCGAGGCTTCCATCATGCCCCCCAGACATTTCGAGAGGCCTCCAACAACTCCCACGAGACATCCGAGGAGGCTCTTATGTTAGCTGTTGTTTCCTCCTCCTCCTCCTTCTACTCCTCCTTCTCCTCCTCCTCCTCCTCCTCCTCCTCCTCCTCCTCCTCCGCCTCGTCCTCCTCCACCTCCTCCTCCTCCTCCTCCTCCTCCTCCTCCTCCTCCCCTCCTCCTCCTCCACCTCTTCCTCCTCCTCCTCCTCCTCCTCCTCCTCCTCCTCCTCCTCCTCCTCCTCCTCCTCCTCCTCCTCCTCCTCCTCCTCCCCCCCAAGACCAGCCTGAGGTGAACGGCGTATGCCCGGGCCTCGTCGGTCGCGTTGCTGGCCACTGCGCCCTGCTGAACCACCTGCAGCATGACGCTGGCTTTGTGCGCCAGCCCGCGACCGATGCCGTCCCATTCGCGCTGGATCGCCTACAGGGCAAGGGAGGGTAAAAACAGAGATGGGGAGGAAGGGGAAGCGGGCTGGGCACGGATGGGAAGAGAAGGGGGGGACAGGGGTGGGTTCCTCCCAATCGTTCCTCAAAACAGCGCGTTGCGCGCCTCAAGAAGGCAAAGCAGCACCAGAGCGCTAGATCATGCGCGCATGCTGGCTGGGAGCCCCACGAAACTGGGACAAAGAAAACATCGACAGCGGCGACGGCGGCGACAGTCCAACGCCGTCATGATTTGCGAATACACTCGCATGCCGAAGCCTATGCAGGGGGGGAGAAGAAACGAGGGGGGCGTAAGGAGAGTGAGAACACGAGATGAGAAGAGGAGAGGGAAAAGCGAGGGGAAGGCAGGCGGCGACAGGACGGGGCTGCGAAGCGGAGCCTGCAAAACAGCCCGCGTGCTACCACAAAGCACGCCAGGGCACCTCTGGCCACGGCGAACCTGGGCCACGCCAGTGTTCCCCGCCCGGATCGAGGAACAACGGCCCCGAAGCCACGCGCGACATCTGGAACCCGTTCTGGTGTCTCTTCGACGCAACTCAGGGCCGTCTGGGCGGCTCTCGGGCCGCTGGAAAACGTCCCCGAGGAGCCCGGCGGAACACCAACGGCGACCAGAAGCACCTGGGAGAAGGCCCCCGGCCCTGCACCTTGACAGATGTATTTGGTTCTGCTCTCCTGGAAGAAAATCCGAATCCACCTCCCCCCCCCCCCGGTTTCGCGACACCCCTGGTTAATGCAATTGACATGCGATCCTCCATATTCGTAAATGTAAATTGTGACTCGTACCATCCCAGGCACCCCGCATCGCCCCCCACACCCACCCCACCCCCCTCATCCTTAACACACCAATGCGCGCGCACTCGTACATCCACAACCATAGATGTTGATGCTTATCGTGCCAGAAGGTTTGCATACTGCGCGCACAGTTACACATCTGCCCTGCTACAAAGCCCGTAAGTTTCTTGCAGTGCATCCGCCCTCGCCCATGCATGCCCCCATCATCCTACATGCTACGCACCGCCTCAACGCGCCCTCGACTTCGCCAGGCCTGAAGGCGCAGGGATCGCGAGAGAATGCATGGAAAATCCGGCTGGGCAAAGCACGTTGGCCTCACCGTCTGTCTTATGTCTGTTGTTGTCAGCACCGCTCAGGGATGGCGTTCCCCAGCCACTCCTGTGGCTGAAGCCTCCCTTCCTGCTACGGACTGTCCGAACTTGCCTCGGCTAGTTCGCTGTCGCCGTCGTCGCTAGGCGGACGGAACCGCCCGCCTACTAAGCCTACGCTGCGGGGGAATTTCGAGAGACTCTCCTGGGCCATCGGCTTCGTCATCATGTCTGCTCCGCCGTCGTCCGCGTGGATCTTTCCGAACTCCAGGCGATTCTGCTCGCGCCACTGCCACGCGAACAAGAACCTGATCTCGCTGCGTGTTCATCTCACCTGGCCCTCTTTTTTCACGACAAGCAACGCGCCGCTGCAGTCGCTCGCCAGGACCAGCGCCAAGTTCTCGCGCCACTCTGTCATCAGCGATGCCAGTCCGAACACTTCGGCAGCTCCAGATCCCAATGCACACAGCCCGCTTCCCGCTGACCTCAGCGCCGCGCCGCCCCGACGCCGCGCCCGCGACAGCACCATGCACCCGCGGCACTTCAATGCACCACCGCTGACTGAGATCCCGTCGCCCCCTTTGTCTGCCCAGTCTGCGACCGCACGGTGCTGCGCGATCTCCTTGATACGGCATCCGGTCCCACAACCAACTCCACGCCCAGGGCCCCTTCCAGGCACCTCGCCATCTCCTTCAGTCGACGCTGGCCTCTCTTAGTTAGCGTCGCCGCGCCGCGGCCATGCACTAAAACTCCGCGCTACACGTCAGCCCTGTGGCTTCGCAAATATAGTTTCGCCCCCACGCGTGTCCTGTCTGGACCGTCGCCTGCCGCGTTCTGGGTCTCGTCGTCGCCCATCTGCTCGACCTCGTTCTGCGCCCTCAGGACCACTGAGGGCTTCGCTGCGCGCAACCTGGGCCCCAACGCCGCGTCCTAGAGTAGCGACGCCTCGCCCTCGATGGCATCGCCGCCCACGATTTTGCGGCCCTGCTTCAAAGAAGACGCGGCGCGCCGCCCTGCCTTGACCCTGATTTGGGCCCGCGTGAAGACGCTGCCGTCGCAGCGCCCTCGATGGGGACCCATCTGCCCCATCGCCACTGCGCCGCGACCCCCCCCACGCCTCGGGCGCCCCCGTGAATCCCGGGGACGCGCGCAGCGCTTCCCACGCGCAACCCGCTGGCACCCCTGCTTCGAAAAGCGGTTCCAATAAAGATCCGGCCCTCCGTCAAGGGCGCCAAGCGGAGCGCCACGCTGCAATCGCCGAGTGCCACGACGCGGCCGTTCACTTCCGCGTTGACCGACATCGTCTTCAGATGTGCCAGCGACGGAGTGGCGGCCGCCAAGTCATCACGCCCGCGCGTCTGTTCCGAATCCCCGCGTGGCCCACTCACTCTTCTCGGCGCCGTCGGCTCGGTAGGCGTCGACCCACTTGCTTGTCAGGATGTTGGACCTCGACGACCAGAATCTGCTTCTCCCCGTGGAAATCGCCCCCGTTCGCGTAGACCTCGCCCTCCACGGTCGCCACCGAAGCCCGATCGCATTGGTTCGTGACTTGCTCCTGGCCTGGTCACCCCTGTCGCCCCCGTCTCGCTTCCGCTCGGCGCCGCTGCCCCGGCAGCCGGCGCCGCCCTCGCCACAGCCTGAGCCAAGGGTACTCAGCTGCTTGCCGCTGCCAACCCCGCCGCCTGGGCTGGCGGCGCCGGATCCACGCCCATTGGCGACCTACGCCCGCAACTTTCAACAGCTCGCAGTCTGGCCCCATCGACGCCCATGTCGCCGAACGACGAGGGGCCTCCCAGCGCCGCCCCCGCGGGCCTGGGAGCGGCGCCTCTCGTCGCTGACCTGCAACTTCGTGTCCGGGTACCTGGGCAACTTCTACCCCGGCGACACTTCGATCGCCATGTCGCCGACGGCTGCAGAACATTCAAGCTTTCGACGCCGTGAAACACGATATCCATTACCTAAGATGTTGGCTTGCCTGGGCGAAGATGCAGCCCAATTTCTACGGCCATTGTGCTTAAGTCGAGGATCGTGGTCTCGCCAGCAAAGCGTAGATTGGTTAGCCTTTCGCCAACGAGGCTGCCCAGAACACCTATTGATGACGCCCGCACTTGTGATTTTGCTTTGCGAAATATTAATTATGACAAAAAGTTGCATAATCACGAGTTAAGCGGGTTGCCTTGTTTGACATCGCGTTGGATGCTGAACGTTTTGCCGGTTCTGTCTGTGTTCACGGCCCCCGATTGCTTCTGGCGCAACATGGCGAGGACGTCAACATAGCACGGTGCAAAACATTGGTTCTGCCACGCACTCCAAATATTCGCATGAGGGACACTGTCAAACGCCTCCTCGAAAGCGGCCGCCGCCAAATATGCTGGCATTTGCCATTTCTCTGCAGTTTCCTGAAGCAACGTGGTGATGAACAGGTGATAATTATGTTGTACTGCGCCGCGGTGGAAATCCAGCTTTGTCTTCACATTGTCGATTGTCAAGTATAGGAAGAACGGTATAACAGTCTTGATAAGGTTTTGTATAATACCGGCCAGTATGCTTGCTGTAGGGCGGTAGTGGTTCAACAGTTGGGGGTCACCACGTTTAAAAAGCACTGTGATATCACAGTATGCTGCCAACTTGCTGGCGTGGGCGCGTCTGGCTTGATGACGCTGTTGTACACATCGAGCACACACCGTCGAAGTAGACCACTGCCATTATTCAGCATCTCTGCCACAATGCTCGGTTAGTCTGCTGCATTTCGGTGTTCAATCCCGCGTAATGAATGATCAATTTCATCTTCAGAAAATTCCGGCATGCTTGAGGCAACTTTGGTATCATGTTGGTATGGATTCATAGTGATATATATATATATATATATATATATATATATATATATATATAAAAATATATACATTGGCTAACAGCCTGGAAAATCAGCGAAAACGTTTGCAATACTCTGCTGGTCACGAACTACATTCCCACCTTGGGCTGTCACTTGCGTGATGAATTCCTTGTCCTCGTTCGCCTTCATGTCAAAGATGCTCTTGAGACCCTGGAACTTCAAGAGAATGTCGTTGATTGCCGCTCGTCTGCAGGTTCTCTTGATAGCACGGGTCTCCTTCTTGCTCAAATGCCGCCGGGCAGAAAAGTCTGCCATAGGCGTGTCATGACGTCTCGGCATCAGCGCTCGCACGGTTTCAGATGTAGTTCTGCTCTGGCGTCCGGTCCCCACTCCTCGGGACACATGTTGGAATGCTTCTCTGAGCTGCTTGTTTTCAATGATGCCGCAAGTAATTTGGAGCCTGGTGTACGCGAGCACGTGCTCCAAGCGATCTGCGAGCGTGTTCACATAACTGTCGATACTGCATGGTGGCTATTGTGGAAGGTTGCTCTTGGACTTCGGGGTCGGTTTCGTCGTAGTCTCGCCCCTCTCTGGGACCGAAGGGAAAGATAGTTTTAGGTCGGGCCTGGCCCCCTGCAGGCGGATTTTGGATGAAAAACAATCAAGAAATACCCTGAAAATGCTCAAAAATAATAAAACAATGGTTCCCCGACTATTTTTCCCCTGTAGAAAGACAGGCCCGACTTAAAGATAGTTGGAGACGAAGTGTGCGATGGTCTGAACCAAGATCAAAATCAGGAACGGCTTCACAATATCGGGCTGCTATCCAAACGAGTCTGCTAGCCAAGACATAATCGAGTTGTTTCTGATTCAATGTGTGGAGAGATATAGGGGCAGCGCTGGTGGTCATGCTTGTAGTAGAACGTGTTGAGGATTCTTAGTCGCGTGGAGACCGCCCGTTGTTTCAACCAGAGGCCCCAGGCATTCGCGTCGCCATAAGCAAATTGTCCCACCACGCGTTTGGCGTCTTCTTCAGTTTGTCGGCCCCAATGATCATCATGCGCTTTTCTTTCTGGGCTTCCTGGCTGATGCATTTCAGGACGTCGTAGACTTGTTGAGCATGTTGATATGCGTAATCGCCGTGAGGAAACACGCAGCAACAATTCGAAGACGATGGCGTCCACTTCCAACGTCGATACAAGCGATGCGTTCAATTAACAGCATGGAATGCTTGAACATGATGTACCCACTACTGGTGAACAGCAGTCCACGCGCCTCTATGATTGTCTGTGCGCCCACATCCCATACATGCATGTCCCTCGCTTAATCCAGAACTCGATTTTGATAGTACGCCAGGTCTCATTGAGGGTCAAAAAGTCCCATTGGAAGGTAGATAGCTCGGAGAACTAACAACTCGTCCATTCGGTCACCACTGTTCAGTCCTCGAGCGCTCTTGTGGTACATCGTGCATGTGTCATGGAAACCTGAATCAGGATGAAACGATATGACACGTGAAGGTGGAAGCACTTAGGATGAACATGAAGAAACTGATGAAGAACATGAGCTGCTGGAGTCGCCGGAATCTCGGTGCGACAACGTACTGCTGCCATCGAGAAGTCGCCAGCAGTGCCTTTGTACGCACCGCGCCCTCCCCCCTCCGAGGTCAACGTGCTTGACGTGGTACTGCCGGCACGCAAGCCTCACGAGGTCGCGCGAGGGCGTCAGATCTGCCACACCGGCTCGGGCCTCGCCTCGATCGCTTCCCGAAACGCGTGGGCAACAGCGACTCCGTCGGTCGAACAGCTGGCAGCCCCACTGCAACTCCAGAGCAGCCGGGTAGACTCGTCCCCCGGGGTCGGGTTCGATTTCGAGGATCGGGTCCCGGTCGACCGAGATGGTACCCTTGTAATTTGTCTGCCCTCCGTGGTACCCTTGTGCTTGTTTGCCGTCGCATGGGCTTCGCGAACCAATCTGCAGGCGAGTGGAGGGATGATTGCGCGAACAGTGTTGGAGGCCTGGAAATAGGCACCAACAACAACACAGGGGGCTGCCTCCACAGGAAAGAAGACGATCCTAGCTTCCAGTGTTGGTGGTAATACGTCGGTCACCTTGGAAGCCACAATACTACCACCATCACCGAGATCGGGATCTTCTTCCCTCGGTGGAGGCACACCGCCGATACTGGTGTTGGTGTGTCGACCTCTAGGCCTGCGAGATTGCGCGAACAGTGGAGTTGACAGCTCACTGCGAGCAAAAACTACCTGCACCGCACAGAGTGCACCCCATCGCATGCCAGAGCACCCCGTCGGGACACACCGCTGGCAAAGCCTATCCTCTAGACATGAGAATGCAGCAGAACGCTGTGCTTGGGTCGGGCACGTCCTCCTACGGGCGGGCTCTGGGCGAAAGGCGAGAGAGATTCGGAAAATGCTCGAGCATAGTAGTCGAACAGTTGTCGAAGCATCGTCCCAAGACTGTGGTTTCCCTGCGTGTGGACCACTCCTCCTGCCGAGGGACACGCCCGACCCAGCACCGTGGCCACGGGGCACGAGCAGCTCGCCCCCGCAGAAGGCGAGAGGAGAGCGGCGCCGCGCCCGGGGGGAAGGCAGGATCGGGCCGGGCGAACGGGGGGGGATGGCAAGAGGGGGGAGCATGGAAGTGAGCAGGCGAAGGCCTTCTGAGCAGTCGGCGGGGCTTCTCAGGAGCGCTCCTGCCACGTTCGGGCCGGGCGAAAGGGGGGATGGCAAGAGGGGGGAGCATGGAAGTGAGCAGGCGAAGGCCTTCTGAGCAGTCGGCGGGGCTTCTCAGGAGCGCTCCTGCCACGTTCGGGCCGGGCGAACGGGGGGGATGGCAAGAGGGGGGAGCATGGAAGTGAGCAGGCGAAGTCCTTCTGAGCAGTCGGCGGGGCTGCTCAGGAGCGCTCCTGCCACATTCGGGCCGGGCGAAAGGGGGGGATAGCAAAGGGGGGAGCATGGAAGTGAGAAGGCGAAGGCCTTCTTAGCAGTCGGCGGGGCTTCTCAGGAGCGCTCCTGCCACGTTTCGGGCCGGGCGAAAGGGGGGGATAGCAAAGGGGGGGGGAAGTCAGCTCGCGTAGCTGGTTTTCCCGGCGCCTCCCGGCGCTGGAGGCGGCTATGTATCGAGGAATGGGCCGGGCGGCAGGGCCGAGACCAGCCGCATGCAGCAGACTTCGTAGCCCCCCCTTCCCCAATCCCCCCCTGTTCGTCTGGCCCGACAGGAGGGGTGGGGCCTCCTCCAAAAGGCCTCGAAGGCCTCGGAGCTTCCACGGCGCTCCCCGATGCTCCTCCGCAGGCCCACCGCCTTCTGAGAGGGCCTGCACCCTCCAGAACGCCGGATGCTCTTGGGGTCACAACTCGATGTTTCCGTGGCCGTTCGGGGACGACCTGGGCACCCCCGGAGCGCTCTCCGCGAGGCGGCGCGCACGCATGGATTAGCGATCCGTGGATTCGGCGCGCGGTCGCCAAATCCATGGATCGGGGGAGGTACCCTCCCCAAAAAGCGGCCGTGGCCGCCTCCTTCGGCGGCGGAACGCCGCGATTTCCCACGGAAACTGCACCCGTCGCTAATCCACCCCCCCTGGATCCATGGTTGCGATCAGCTGAAGAACGCCGGATGCTTTGGGGGTCACCACTCGATTCTTCCGTACTCCAAATCTCGTAAGAACAGGGAGGGGGCCTGGACCCTGCAAGACAAGCCACTTCAGACCCCCGTGGGAGAACCCTCCAAAACATCGTCCCCAGACCCCCCAGGCCCTCCAAGATAGCCTGGAATATTTATATATATATATATATATATTAAACATTTTTTTATTTTTTTTTTTTGACCCCCCCCCGAAATGAGACCCCCCTCCCTTTACTACGAAATCTGGAGTAGCCGTTCAGGGCCGACCCGGGCAGCCCCTTCGGAGCGCTCTCGGCGCGGCGGCAGCTGCTGGAGAGAGCGCACCCCGAGGCTGGAAGGCCGCCGAGAGCCGACCAGAACCACCGAAAGCCTCGAGCCTCACACCTTGGCGCGCCGCCGAGCGATGCATGGGTTAGGAGGCAACTACTGGGAGGTTTTCGTCGGAAAGATTAAGGCGGATTGAGCCCCATTTGGGAGCTATTACGCTGGAATGGGCCTCGGATCAAGCGGCATCAAGCCGGATTCAGCGGGATTAACCGGGATTAAGCGGGATTAAGCCGGATTAAGCCGGATTAAGCGGACTTCGGGCCAGTGCAGAATCAGAATTTGACCTCCCAGGAGTTGCATCCCAACATGGGCATCTCCCCCCAGCGGCGGTGAGAGGAGGAGGCTCTCCCCGCCTCGTGCAGCAGCCCCCGCGGGGAGGCGTACGCCAGCTGAGACAGCGGCACCTCGGGCAGGCGAGCGCGCTCCGCTGCTCGCGGAGTGGCTGCGCGCACGTGGCCTGGAGACGCCGCGGGGGAGCCCCTGCGATCCATTGCGTCGAAGCCGACATCTGGTGGTCGGACATCTGGTGGTCTTAAGAAATCATGGGTTAAGAAACTCAGAGTCTCAGGATTTGAATAAAAACCCAGAACTTCGATCAAAATCTTGGGATTTACATTGAAACATTAAGAATAATCGAGACTCTCGCCGAAAACTTACGTTTTCTTAAGCATCGCCCAGGGTGTAGGCACTCTGCGAGCAGTGGAGCGCGCTCGGTGCTTGGGGGGGTCTCCACCAGCAGGGGCCCGAGCTGGATCCAGCCGCGCACTCGCACCAGCTCGGGGACAGATCGGGTCGCTGGCGAGTCGTCGCGGATCGAAACGAGACTGGAGCGCCGCGCCCGGCTCCGGCTGGCCCCGGCCAATGCCGGTGAGTCGAACCGGATCGAGTCGAATCGGAATCGCGGCCCCCCGCAGGCGAATCGACTCGGATCGTGGGCGGCCCTGCAAGCCCTACTTCTTATCCCGACCCGTCGCCACCTCATAGAGCCTCCCAGGCGCCGCGAACAAATAAACATACAATTATATAATATACACACACAAACCAACAAACAAAAAAAACGCTCCCCAACTCGGGCTCAAGATTGGCCCTGGGGCCATCAAGGAGCAATCCGTGGCGAAAGGCGGGTCCCAGGGGTGGGGTCGAGAGTTCCAGGGGTTCCTGTTGGCAACGGGCCCATGCGGGGTGGAGCGAGATGCGTAGCCGTCTTACATGGCAGGGATGTCTCTTGGAAGGGACGGACGCCTTACGTAGATGGCAAGAGGTCCTCTGAGAGGCCACTTCCCTTCTTGCAAGGCCGCTGGCTCCCCTCACCACGCCCCCGGCCCCGCCTTCTGGAGGCCGCCGAACTCCGTCCCAGCCACCGCCCCCTTCGTCTCTTCGTCTTCACCCCGATCCCCTCCTCCTCCGCCTCCTCCTCCTCCTCCCCAAATTACCCTCCTTTGTCTGAACACCACAACTCCTCCTGTCGCACAACCAGACGTGCCGCTAGGGCGGGCCGGGCGCTTCACCTGAGACTTCCTCACCGCTCATGGCCTTCAAGCTTGAAGTTCACAACAAAAAGACAGATGAAGGGCAGGTAATTTTCGACACGGGTCTATCGTCATGGCGCTGCGCGCACCTGCACTAAAAATCTCCAGCCGCTACACAGATGGAAGGCGAGTCGTTTTCAGAATGGGGTCATGGCCGTTGCACCGCGCGCACCGGTGTGAAAGCCGTCCAACAGAGCCCACGGATGGAGAGCGGCTCCCCTCTTCCTCGAGATGCATACGGTCGAGAATTTTTAGGCAGCGTATCGCCACGGCGGCCCCGGCGACACGCTGTGCCCTGCGAGTGGATCGTGTGTCGCTCCGCCCCACGGAAAGGCTCGGGACATTGACGCCTCGAGGCCGCGAAGTGGAGAGCGTGCCGCTCCAAAACACGGTGTGCCAGAACCGGCGGAGCGACACGCTGTCCAAAAGCTTCCGAGCGTAACTTCTTCGTAGGCGACGAAGCAGGGTCGGTCCGCTCCAGCGTGTGGCTGTTCGGGGCGAACGAAGGGCGAACTGTCCAGCGTGCAAGAGAGGGGAGAACAAGACGAGCGCGGCCACGTGGGGGGGGGAGGGGGAGGGGAAAGTGAGATCGTGCAACGGCTACACACACGGAAGGCGGCCCCTTCTCAAGAGGGGGCCATTGCCACTCGAGGCTTCGTTCGGCCGTGCGGCCAGAGAGCCAAAACGGTGCGGCACTTGCACGGAGGGAGGGCCACTCCTTTTCTCAAGGCAGGGCCGTCGCTGGGCACTTCCTTGATCTTTCTTGTTCCGCCTTGGACAAAAGAGACTTGGGACAGGAGGGCGTAGCGCAGCATCGCTGGCTCATGTCGGCTATACTCTGGTCTTCCTTCTCCTCCTTCTCCCCCTCCTTCTACTCCTCCTCCTCCTCCTCCTCCTCCTCCTCCTCCTCCTCCTCCTCCTCCTCCTCCTCCTCCTCCTACTCCTTCTCCTCCTCATCCTCCTCCTCCTCCTCCTCCACCTACGTACTGCATCTGCTACTCCACCTCTTCTGCCGGCTCCAACCCAAGCTTCGCGTGGACGGACCCTCATCCCTCCTCCATCCTCAACACCAACACCACCACAACCATCATCACAACCACCATCATAGTCGTAATCGTAATCGTAACATTCACCATCATCAGAATCATGATAATCATCATCATCATCATCATCAGCATCATCAGCAGCATCATCATCGTCGTCGTCATCATCAGCATCATCATCATCAGCAGCAGCATCATCAGCAGCAGCACAGTCATCATCATGATCAGCAGTAGCTGCATCAGCCTGAGCATCCTCAGAATCAGCACCATCAGCATCACCATCATCATCATCATCAGCAGCATCATCATGATTATCAGCAGCAGCATCAGCATCAGCATCAGCATCATGACCAGCATCATGATCGCCGTCGTTAGTATCATCGTCATCATCACCATCATCATCAGAAGCACCATCACCATGATCATCAGCACAATCAGCATCAGCATCAGCATCGGCATCATCATCATCAGCATCATCAGCAGCATCATCCTCGGCAGCAGCATCATCTCCATCGGCAGCGTCATCAGCATCAGCATCATCGTCTGCATCACCATCATCAGCATCATCATCGGCAGCATCATCAGCATCAGCGACAGCAGCCGCAGCATCACCAAAAGCATGATCACCATCAGCATCATCATCATCAGCAGCATGATCATCATCCTCACCATCATCAGAATACGTTTATCATCATACACCTCATCATCGTCATCAGCATCATCATCATCAGCATCATCAGCATCATCATCATCAGCATCATCATCATCATCATCATCATCAGCATCGTCATCGTCATCGTAAGCATCATCATCAGCCTAATTATCATCAGCATCATCATCATCAGCATCGTCATCATCGTCATCGTCATTATCAGCATCAAAATCATCATCATAAACAGCAGCAGCAGCAGCAGAAGCAGCAACCTTACCATCATCAACACCATACTCCCTCTTCCCACCCGTCCTCATCCTGCACCTCCAACTCCTCCCCCTCCTCCTCCTCCTCCTCCTCCTCCTCCTCCTCCGCCTCCTCCGCCTCCTCCGCCTCCTCCTCCTCCTCCTCCTCCTCCTCCTCCTCCTCCTCCTCCTCCTCCTCTCCCCCTCCTCCTCCCCCTCCTCCTCTCCTCATCCCCTCACCCTCACCCCCCCCTCCCCCTCCCCCCCCCCTCCCCCTCCGCCTCCGCCTCCGCCGCCGCCTCCGCCTCCTCCCTCTCCTCCTCCTCCTCCTCCACCTCCTCCTCCTCCTCCTCCTCCCTGCTCCCTCCTCCTCCTTCTCCTCCTCCTCCTCCCCTCCTCCTCCTCCTCCTCCACCTCCTCCTCCTCCTCCCTCCGCCTCCGCCTCCGCCTCCGCCTCACTCCTCCTCCTCCTCCTCCTCCTCCTCCTCTCCTCCTCCTCCTCCTCCTCATCCTCCCCTCCTCCTCCGCCTCCTCCTCTTCTTTCTTCCTCCCTCTCCTCCCCTCCGCCTCCGCCTCCCCCTTTCTCTCCTCCTCCTTCCTCCTCCTCCTCTTCCTCCTCCTCCTCCTCCTCCACCTCCTCCTCCTCCGCCCTCCTCCTCCTCCTCCTCCTCCTCCTCCTCCTCTCCGCCTCCTCCTCCTCCTGCTCCTCCTCCTCCTTCTCCGCCTCCTCCTCCTCATCCTCCTCCCCCTCCTCCCCCCATTCCCTTCTCTCCCCCTCGTATTTCTCATCCTCCCCTCCCTCTCCCTGGCTCCACATCCTCCCTCCCCGCCCTTCTCATCCATTCCCCCCGCCGGTCTCCCTCTGAAGTACCCAGTCAGCCTCCATCTCCTATAATCCCCCTGTGTCATGGTCTCCCTCCCCATCCCCCCATCAATACCACGACATCATGAGCATTGTCCGCCTCTTCCTCCTCCTTCTCCTCATCGGCGACGGCATGATCGTCTTCATCAGCATCATCATCATCATCATCAGCAGCAGCAGCATCATCATCATCCTCATCATTACCAGCAGCATCATCATCAGCATCAGCATCATCATCGTCATCACCATCATCCTCATCATCATCATCATCATCAGCAGCATCATCATCAGCATCATCATCCTCGTCATCATCCTCGTCATCATCATCATCATGATCAGCAACAGCAGCAGCATCATGATCATCCTCATCAGCATGATCAGCATCGTCATCATCATCAGCAGCATCATCAGCATCAGCATCATCAGCATTAACAGCATCATCAGCATCATCATCAGCAGCATCAGCATCAGCATCAGCATCAGCATGATCATCATCAGCAGCAGCCGCAGCATCGTCATCAGCAGCATCAGCATCAGCATCAGCATCAGCATCAGCATCATCGTCATCCTCATCATCAGCATCAGCATCAGCATCAGCATCAGCATCATCAGCATCATCACTATCATCACCATCATCGTCAGCAGCAGCATCATCATCAGTATCATCATCATCATCAGCAGCATCATCTGCATCATGATCAGCATCATCATAATCAGCATTAGCATCATCAGCATCACCATCAGCATCATCATCAGCAGCAGCAGCATCAGCAGCAGCATAAGCCTCAGCATCATCGGCATCAGCAACATCATCAGCGTCATCATCATGATCCGCATCATCAGCAGCGTCGTCGTCGTCAGCATCAGTATCGTCATCATCATCATCATCAGCATCATCAACAGTATCATCATCATCATCATCATCATCATCATCATCATCATCATCATCATCATCATCAGCTGCATCATCATCATCACCATCATCAGCATCAGCATCGACATGGCCCTCATCATCAGAATCATCAGCATCATCAGCATCATCGATATGATCAGCATCATGACGATCATCGTCA